GAGGCTTATTGTTACCAATATACGCAGTCATCGCCCAGCCCGCATCCTTAAATTACTCCCTGATCAGCAATAAGCTGCGAGGGTTAGCTTCACTCGAAATTGTGTGTCATGTACTCAAGAAGACTGTGGTAGGGTATTGTGCTCCTATGAAGCCTATGAAGAATATCTCTGTACAGCGAACACCGCGAGTCTTACGAAGTCGAAGAGAATGCTTCGCAGAGGCATGTCTTGAAGTAATCACACCTTATGGTGCGGGCTTTGTTATATTTTGAACAGGACCAAATTCGTTAGATCGTACAGAGCTAGGCACTGACTGCACACGGATATGTAACGGAAGTTGTAATTCTTCTTGCACAACGCGTATTGGCCGCTCTTGGCGAAACTTCAGTTTTTATTGACGACAACGTTCTCACTAATCGGTCTGGCGATGTGAAAGCGTATATATGCTAGGAGGTTGGAATTTACCGTTTGTATTGATCAGATCGAAGTCCCGATTATATTCCATATATAGCACATCTGGGACGTTCTGAAGCTACGTGTGTGATTAGTTCAGCCTGCTCCGAAGACCATCACAGAGCTAATGAATGTGGTTACTGTAGAGTGGGAATGTATTTTGCTAGAAACCATAAGACATATACTCGCTAGCATGCCCAGACGAATTTATTTATTTAATAAACAACAAAACAATGTTATTACTTTATGCGGTCTGCGTGTATTCTTATTTATGGGGATAAAACTACGCAATGCATCACATAGGATTGTATAATACTTATCACATGTCGCAAATAATGTAATTTTAGCTTCTGGGTTTGCTAATATTTTCATAAGTCTAATTTGAAATTGCTTTAGAGCTTTTTATATTTATAACTAGAATGTAAAACTGTTTAAGGACGCGTTTACAAAATGGATAGGTATAGAATCGCACTACTACATTGACAAAAGTCACACACACACTAGTGTACGCACGGTTGGCTGTGGGAATCGTAGTCAAATGAAATTATTTTGATAATTTGAAAGATTGAATTTGTTTTTCATTTCTTATACCTACCTCAGAAATATACTTCGATACGAAATATGAATACCTGCTCCAAAGACTGCTTGGCACTGGAAGCCCTCTACTGGTAGTGAGATGTTAGCTCTGGACTTTGAACTGGTTTTGTCAGTTATAATAAGACCTTACCTACCTGCGGACTTGATGGAGTGACCTGAAGGTGTAATTCGGTGATTACAAGTGGAACTCCTAGACTAGTAGAACTAGGTGTGTCGAGTTTGGGTTCGTTTTGTTAGTTATGATGAGACCTTACCACCAGACTTGATGGAGTGACCTGAAGGGGTAATTCAGTAATTACTGCTGGAATTTCTGAACGAGTAGAACTAGGTGTGCCGAATTTGGGCTCCGTTTTGTTAGTTATGACGAGTCCATACCTCCGGACTTGATGAAGTGACCTGAAGGTGTAAATCGGTGATTGCAACTGGAACTCCTAGACTGGTGGAACTAGGTGTGCCGAGTTTGGGTTCATTTTGTAGGTTATGATGAGACCTTACCACCGGACATGATGGAGTGACCTGAAGGTATAGTTCGGTGATTACAAGTGGAACTTCTAGACTTGTAGGACTAGGTGTGCCGAGTTTGGGTTCGTTTTGTTAGTTATGATGAGACCTTACCACCAGACTTGATGGAGTGACCTGAAGGGGTAATTCAGTAACTACTGCTGGAATTTCTGAACCAGTAGAACTAGGTGTGCCGAATTTCACTCCATCAAGTCCGGTGGTAAGGTCTTATCGTAACTAACAAAACGAAACCAAACTCGTCACACCTAGTTCTACTAGTCTAGGAGTTCCATTTGTAACCACCTGATTACACCTTCAGGTCACTCAATCAAGTCCGGTGGTAAGGTCTCATCGTAACTAACAAAACGAACCCAAACTCGGCACACCTAGTTCTACAAGTCTAGGAGTTCCACTTGTAATCACTGAACTACACCTTCAGGTCACTCCATCAAGTCCGGAGATATGGACTCGTCATAACTAACAAAACGAAGCCCAAATTCGGCACACCTAGTTCTACTCGTTCAGAAATTCCAGCAGTAGTTACTGAATTACCCCTTCAGGTCACTCTATCAAGTCCGGTGGTAAGGTCTCATCGTAACTAACAAAACGAACCCAAACTCGGCACACCTAGTTCTACCAGTCTAGGAGTTCCAATTGCAATCACCGATTTAGACCTTCAGGTCACTCCATCAAGTCCAGAGGTATAGACTCGTCATAACTAACAAAACGGAGCCCAAATTCGTCACCCCTAGTTTTACTCTGCAAAAAGTTCAAATAGCGGTCACGAAAGTACACCTTCAGGTCACGCCATCAAGTCCAGAGGTAAGGTCTCATCATAACCAACAAAACGAGCCCAAACTCGGCACACCTAGTTCCGCTCGTCCACGAGTTGCAGTAGTAGGTAAGTTTATATATCCTACTTATTTTTAGCTAAATAAAAACTGTGAGTATAAAAATAATAATTTTATCACTTGTCAAGTACTTATGTTTCCAATTTGTTTTTTTCTAATATTTTGTGTACGTACAGCGATCTTTTCAGAATGAGCCGCTGCAAACAGGCGATACAGTGTCCACTCACGACGGCGGCCGAGCGCGGACTGTGGTTTCATCGAAATCTTTGTATAATAAATCAAAGCAGGCACCAACAATAAAATAGCCCTTATTGCAATACATTATGATTCATCCGTATTACCAAAATATGTGAAAAAATGTGCATCAGTTTTTATTTTTTTTACGACTATTTGTGACATTTTGTTAAAAAATAAACCCAGGGTTTTTTAATTGAATATGTCTGTCATCTTATAGTATTTTTTAATTTTTTTAAATATGTTGATAATAGACCAAAACATGTACCGAAACACAAGCCGGTATCGTTAATTTTGTAGAAAATGACAACGAAAGTTCGTTTTTACAATATAAAAAACTACTATTTTCAACAAAAGAGTTACAGACATTTGCAGATGAAGAACCAATCTATACATGGTAGTTTTTACTTATATTTGATTTGGTTTAGTTTTGTCACAAAATCTACCGAAAAACACCCTAATTTTGGTTGATTTGCAAACGCGTCCTTAAGATAATTATAAGAAATATAAATAATGTTTTATAATGTAAAAACTTACGGCTTAATATATCCAATTTTATAAAAACTTGTAACGGAAACCACACAAGCAACGCTATCTGTAGTTTAGCACTGTTAAATTACAAGCTTATAAAAGACAGATGTCGCCTGTTTAAGCGGCAGCGATAAGCGGCAGCTACGAGCGGCAGTCTTACCGAAACTGTTGAGTAGAGAATACGTACACGGAGGATAAATTGTGAGTAATAATAATTATTGTTATACCTTGTTATTTGTGTGTCTGAAATGTACATTGTTATTATTATGAATATCTATAATCTTGTTTAGATTTGATATTTTGTGCAGTTAATAAAATACATGATGTTACTTACTTATTAAGCGACTTTACTTAACACCATTAGGTGAGAGTAGAGCATTTTAATAAGAAGTACAAACCGTGCCACGAAAGATGAGACTTGACACATCACGTGGTTTGAGTTGCGCATTAGTCGATTTATCGGTCTCTTTAGCGGTATGAAGTCTGAGGCGGGAAGGGACCGGGCGTCATCGGCGCCGCTCATTCATATTAGTTGCTTCCCGCTCTCTGCGCCCCGTGCACTTACCGCTTGACTCCGCAAGTACAGACAAGTTGCACTACACAAGCGTCAAGCGGTAAATTTCTACTTTGTTTATAGTTGTGTTGTTCTATACGAGTGCAACTTTGTGAAATCTTGATTATGCCTCGAGGTAAAACATTAAGACGACAAAGTAGGAAGATGGTTTACGACGTGTACACCTATATGTCAAAAGAAGCAAAGGAAGGTGTACAAAATTTGAAGCAGGTACAAATGCGTACAGCGGCCGCAACTAGAACATCATTAATTACAGTAAAAAGAATTGTGAAGGAAGGAAACAGTTCCGAGTTACTACCAGTTTTCCGCACTCCCGGAAAAAAAAGGTCAAGACCCAAACTTTTAACCGACATAGATGACTTTGACAAAGGAGTGATAAAAAGATGTGTTCACAACTTCCATGTTACGAACAAGGAACTGCCGACCCTTAAAAAATTTTAGCAAAGTTGCGTGATGATATTGCCTTTCGAGGTTCTAAAACAAGTCTACGCCGCATTTTGAAAGACCTTGGTTTTCGATGGAGGAGGACCGAAAATAATCGAAAAATTCTTATAGAAAAATCCAATATCAGACTGAAAAGAATTGAATATTTAAAAAAAGTCAGAAAATATCGCCAAGAAGGCCGTCCTATTGTATATACTGACGAGTCTTACGTGCATTCCACGCATAGTACCTCCAAATCTTGGTCTGATAATTCAGATAAAGGGCTCAAAAAACCAATATCTAAAGGTCGGCGCGTAGTTATTGTACATGCTGGATCTGAAAGTGGTTTCATACCAAACGCTTTACTGACTTTTAAATCGGGGTCAAAAACGGGTGATTACCACGACGACATGAATTACGAAAATTATCAGAAATGGCTTCGAACCCAGCTAATACCCAATCTTCCACCAAATGCCGTCGTGGTAGTTGATAATGCCCCGTATCACAATAAGGAGTATGAATCTGCACCAAGCTCAAATACCAAGAAAGCTGATATGCAATCTTGGCTAACCCAAAAAGGAATTCCCTACACTCCAGATATGCTTAAACCACAATTGTACAAATTGATAAAAATACATAAAACGCAATATAAGACATTCAGCATTAACAAAATACTATCTGAACACGGTCATGACGTACTGCGATTACCTCCATACCACCCAGATTTAAATCCAATCGAAATGGCTTGGGCTTCAATAAAAGGTTATGTGAGTAGTAAGAATGTGCAATGGAACCTCAAACGTGTGATAGAGTTAGTAACAGAAAAGGCAAGCCAAATGGGACCAAATGAATGGAAAGCTCTATGTGATAAAACAAAAAAAATTGAAGACTTTTACGTAGAAAGTGATCACATAATAGACAATTTAACGGATACGGAGAGAATTATCAGACTAGGAGAAGATTCGTCAGACAGCGACTCAGGGGACTCGGGTTGTTCCTCATCGTCATCTGACGAAAACGATAATCTGTTAACTCCTGGAACAAGTAGTGTATTTTCTAGAGTTAATGTACCTGGTTGCAGCCGCGTTACAAACGATAATCTTCCCGCTGGTGTATCATTTATTGACAGTGACAGTGACTAGGATAATCAGCCATTTTTATCTTTAAATTTATTATTTCGTAATAAATATTTTTCAGAATTTTGTTACGTTGTGTTAATTTCAAATGTCATCGAAAAATCCCTGAATAGATATACAAATTATGGATAATATTTCGTACACGACAGTACCTGCGCAAGCTCCCCACTACTGACGCTCGCCAAGTCTCATCTTTCGTGGCACGGTCTGTAGATAGCTCCTAAATACGTCACAAATAACGACTAGCGCTGCATTTTGCACAAACACGCAACTTAAGGGAATTGATAAATACTACTAAATGTATCAATGCCATTAATTATTCATTCAATAAAGACTATCGAAGACCACTGCTGAACATACCGGGGGGGAGGGGTCACTCCATAGGTTACCTGATAAGGGGGATATTTGCCACAGTTGCCACGCTTGGTGGGCAGGTTGGTAACCGCAGTTTATTTTATTTTCTAGTCGTTATTAGGAAGACGCTGTTGCCTTTGTATTTCTCTGTCTCACCTCTTGCGACACCCACGGGACGATATGGGGTACTGGATATTCTTACACGCTACTACAAGTTCTATTACTCAAACTTACTAATCAAAATACACAGGAACCAGCGAACTAAGAGTTCTCCTACAAAGTGAGCGACTACGAGAGCGGAAGTGACTTTGGCCACGCGGAAAACCGCAGGACGATAAAGCAGAAGGGACGTACTTTGTCGTACTTCCTGATGGAAACAAACAGGTACGTTGAAATCATCTTCATCAGCTCTACTGCTTTGGAACCCGAGTAAATTCCACCTATCTATTTCTGCAAACACAAATGTGAATACTATTGTATTTTAGTGTAGTAAGACATACTGTAATACACTATATTAGTTTTCACAGTACCCGAGCAATTTTAAGCGTTGATTTACCACGTGCTCCACGGTGAAGGAAAACATCGTGAGGAAACCTGCATGTCTGAGAAACAATAAAAAATATTTCGAAGACGTGTAGAGTTCTCTCATTTCTCTTACAGCCTATGTACGTCCCACTACGTAGGACGTATGTAGGCTGTAACTTTAACTTTATAGTAAGACAGTCAGCATTGTAAGAGGTTGTGAACGTTAATTCTTTCTTTACTGGGAACAAGACATTCCATCTTAGTCCTTAGGAGTGACAATGCATCTGCATTATGATTCATCATCGGATACAGATGTGTGTCTATGGACTACAGCACCCACTTGCCATCAGGTGGAACGTGTGCTCGTTTGTCACCATTCTTCTATAAAAAATTGAATTGAAAACCAAACTTACAGTCCACCTGATGGAACGTTGCAGAAATCAGTTGTTCACCTGCAATCAACATAAATAAAGAATTGGCCTCAGTGAGGACTAAGATGAAATACCTCATGGCCTGTTATTATACTGGGTTTCTTCTACATTTCTCTACATCTCTTATACACTTCAGATGTGGATGATAATAACCCCTGGGTAGGGTGATCGCTACCAAGCTGATTCTAATTTATTGTGTGTTAATTGTAACATACATGATTGTAAGCTGTTATTTAAAAAAAATCCCGCTGAGTTTCTTGCTTATTCTTCCCAACATAGAGATTTTTTTTCCGAATCAGTGGTAAATTAAAAAAAGTGACTTTCAATAAGTATTATTTATAATCTATATTGAATAAAAAAGTTTCTGTTTCTATTTTTGATCTCTCACTTTTTATCCTTGGACTACAGTAGCTAGTTGCTATAATTTGTCAACAAACGAAAGTGTACAAACAAGTATATTTTTTAAAAATTTGTCCTAAGAAATTAATATACCACGTTTTTCAACTACAATTTCTGATTCTGAGCTATGATCAAAATTACAAGTCCCTAGTCCAACGGGAAGTGTTCGAAATTTGAATTGCAAGATTCCACCCGGAACGGCGGAAAAACTAGAAAGTGACATGATGAAAACGTGGTAAAATTAACACATTTTCATGGCATGTATTCTGTTCTTTCCAGGTGGTAGAGTACGAGGCTGATGAAGATGGATTCAAGCCAAGGATCTCAGTAATACCAGCCGACACTGCATCTAGCCGCGCAGGCGACGGGTCTCATTGACACAACTCCATAATCCTATAGAAAAGACACACTATTGTAAAATTTTATATTTATATAATTTAAAACCGGCGATATGAAATAATGGAATAAAAAATAAATAAATTAGAAATGCGTTTTACTCGTTACTGGTTCTATAATAAAAGAATATATTATAATAATCACAACATTTTCAAATATTCTTTAAAGTTACAGCCTGTATACGTCCCACAGCTGGGCACGGGTCTCCTCTCATTTCTGAGAAGGTTACGTAGATAAGCATGTTTTTACCCAGTTATTTTATTATAATATATGAGATACTTAGTAATCAACCAAAACATATTAAAACAAAGTCTTGACACTGCTCCTGTCTGTCCATCTCAATCAATCATCAAAGTTCAAAAACTTTATTAAACTAAGTTTGTATATATATTATAAGGAATTTATGGATGATGTATTATCATCGCGATCACCTTACCCAGGGGTATTCCCTGGGTAAGGTGATCGCTACGAAGCTATTTCTAATTTGTTATGTGTTATTAATTGTAACATCATGTATGTTACAATTGTAAGGTATTATTTAAAAAAAATCCCCTGAGTTTCTTGCTGGTTCTCCCCAAGACAGTGGTTTTTCCGTACCAGTGGTAAATTAAAAAAAAAGTGGTTTTCAATAAGTATTATTTATAATCTATATTGAATAAAAAGTTTCTCTTTCTGTACCACCACTATTAATAGAATACTTTAGAAATTATGAGTTATGTCGCCTCTACACGTTGGCCAACACAGTGGCGAATGGAATGGCGAATATATTGGCCGAGAGTTGGTGACGGCGTCCACACGTTGGAAGGTCGTTCAGTTTACTTCGGTTCGGGCTCTATTATCTTGATGTTAATGCTGTTAGTCTATACGACTCTTACAGCTTCATCTAAGTTCGGGCCAATGTGCGGACGAATTTATAAGCACCGTGGCGCAGTGGCTCAGCAATGAGTGGCTGCGCCGAGCGCCGCGGGTTTGATCCCGCACGGAACAAGTATTTGTATGTCCTACAAATAATTGTTTCGGGTCTGGATGTGTGTCCTTGTGCAATTTATGTTTGTAAACTGCCTGCGCGATACGGGAGAAAATCCTAGTGTGGGGTTAACGTTTTTATAAAAGAATTATAAAATAATAGTGGTTATTAATGGGGCTGTAAATAGATATACGATATACAATTAGCTTTATTTATTTTTTACATGCATCATAAACTGGAATAAATACCATTAATAAGAACTTAACTTATTTTAAAGTTAAAGGAGTTATAATCGATTAGTCTATGTTTTAAAATTGGGTTTTGATTTTAAAGTTTAGCAAAATATGTACCTACTTGCATTTCCATCAGACATTTGATGTATATAAAAAACACCATATAATTTATTTGGTAATTTAATTATTTTTTGAGAAAGACAAAAACAATAGCAATAAATATAATTAACATTGACTTAATAATAGGTACTAATTATAACTTAGAACATAAATGAAAAACTCATGACGAGCAAAGTGGCTCAGGACCATGCTTTGCGGCAGTCTGTGGAGGAGGATGTTCAGTAGTAGACTTGTGAACAGCTGTAATGATGATAATGATTCGAAATCTTGCACGATTAAATTATAAGAAATCGTCGTTTTTTTTATAGGATAGTGTGACAAACGAGCACACAGTTCACCTAATGGTAAGTGGTTACTGTGGGCCACAGACATCTACATCTATCCTCGATTACGAATCAAAATGCAGATGCGTTGTCACCCGTGAGGACTAAGATGAAATGCCTCGTTTCCTTTAAAAAGGGTCTCTGGTTCTCTACACTCACTATACGAAACACAGCATCATTAAGCTACTATTTTACGCTGATATTCTGTGAGAGCGTGGTCCTTCCCCGGTCGAGCTGACCCATTCGTGCTACAACTATACTCCTAATATAACTGCATGGTTCTACCACATATAAACGATATGCTTCATTTTTTTCATTTTAAAATTGTCCTCGTAATAATCTGATTGTAAATAAATGTTCATTATTTGTTTTAATGAATAGCTTATCGATTAAAATAAATATTTAAAAATAATTAAATCGCGCTAATTAAAGTAGTAGTTGAAATTAGCACTAAAAGGCTAATAAGGGCACCACCCTACAAAGCGTGAATATAAAATTTAAATCAGGTGCGTGTAATCACTCCTTCCCCGGTCGAGCCGACCTTCGTGCTGCAACTATACTTCTAATATAATTGCATGGTTCTACCACGTATAAATGACGTGCTTCATTTTAAAATTGTCCTCGTAATAATCTGATTGTAAATAAATGTTCATTATTTGTTTTGATAAATAGCTTATCGATTAAAACAAATATTTAAAAATAATTAAATCGCGCTAATTAAAGTAGTAGTTGAAATTAGCACTAAAAGGCTAATAGGGGCACCACCCTACAAAGCGTGAATATAAAATTTAAATCAGGTGCGTGTAATCACTCCTTCCCCGGTCGAGCCGACCTTCGTGCTGCAACTATACTTCTAATATAATTGCATGGTTCTACCACGTATAAACGACGTGCTTCATTTTTTTTTCATTTTAAAATTGTTCTCGTAATAATCTGATTGTAAAAAAAAACGTTAATTTTTTTTGATAAGTAGCTTATTGATTAAAACAAATGTTCAATAATAATTAAATCGCGCTAATTAAAGTAGTAGGAATGTTTAAAGTTGAAATTGGCACTAAAAGGCTGGTAATGGGGGCATCCACCCTACAAAGCTTGAATATAAATTTTAAATCAGATGCGTGTAATCACTCTGGGAGCTTGTAGCAAACTAAACGCGCGGCCAACG